GCTGATGGGAATGCAGACTGGTGTAGTCATTATGGAAAACAGTACGGAGTTTCCTCAAAAAATTAACTATGGGATTGCCACTTGACCCAGTGATCCCACTTCTAGGAATATATCCTAAGAAACCCGAAACACTGCATTCAGAAAGAAGTTATGCACCCCAATGTTCATAGCAGCACAATTCACCATAGCTGAGCTCTGGAAACAGCCCAAATGCCCATCAGTAGATGAGTGGATAAAAAGCTGTGGTACATTTATACTATGGAATACTATGCAGCAGAAAAAAGAAGGATCTCTTACCTTTGAGACAGCATGGAGGGACCTGGAGAGTACTATCCTAAGCAAAATAAGCCAGTCAGAGAAAGACAAGTATCACATGATCGCACTCATATGTAAAATCTAAGTAACAAAATAAACTGATGAATAGAGTGGATCCAGAGACATGGAAGCATGGAACAGAGTTCAGAATCTCAGAGGGAAGGCAGAGGAGGGTGGGTTGGTTGGAGGTAATCAATCAAAGACCTTGTATGCATATATGCATAACCCATGGACACAGACAATAGGATGCTGAAGGCCTGGGGTGGGGGATGGGAGCAGGCTGACAGGGGTCAATGGGGAAAAAGAGAGACATATGTAATACTTTCAACAATAAAGATTTATTTAAAAAAAATAAAGATGGTTAAGCAAAGTCTCTTGGCCATAATGGAAAGGGAAAAAAAAAGTCGCCCTAACCAGTTTGGCTCAGTAGATAGAGTGTTGGCCTGTGGACTGAAGGGTCCCAGGTGATTCTGGTCTCAGGGGCATGTGCCTTGGTTGCAGGCACATCCCCAGTAGGAGGTGTGCAGGGAGCAGCTGATCAATGTTTCTCTTCTCATCGTTGATGTTTCTCTCTCTCCCTCTCCTTCTCCCTTCCTTTCTGGAATAAATAATTCTTCTTTTTTAAAAATATATTTTATGCCCTGACCAGTTTGGCTCAGTGGATAGAGCATTGGCCTGCGGACTCAAGGGTCCCAGGTTCGATTCCGGTCAAGGGCACGTACCTGGGTTGCGGGCACATCCCCGGTGGGAGATGTGCAGGAAGCAGCTGATCGATGTTTCTCTCTCATCGATGTTTCTAACTCTCTATCTCTCTCCCTTCCTCTTTGTAAAAAATCAGTAAAATATATATATTTTTTTAAAAAAAGTCAACGGGAAACTTAATGTTTAGAAAACATGTAAAGTACTTTTTTGCCTCACTTAGATCTAAATGAAAGATCAACTGAGAGTAATTATATATTCCCCAGGAAGCAAGTATTAAGAATTTGTTTCTTTGCTTTAATATTTATTTGTGTTTATATAGACACATTCTGATTAAAATAATTTTTTTACAATTTCATTATTCTTTATAATTTTGTGAATTATTTTTAACATAACATAACTTTGTGAATATGTTACTCAAGCAATTAGAAAAATTAGTCCAATTACTCATAATGCAATTAAGGGTAATAGACACAAAGAAATATCTATAACATGTTGTGATAACTGTTTGCAATGTAATTTTGCATGCTGCACTATGGAAAAGCCAAAAAATAAAGAACTGTTCTGTGCTTTGGTGCCTGGCATTTCAGCTGGGTATTAAAAAATGAATATACGTGTACTAACTAGAGAAAAGGGAAAGAAAGAGATGTCATATAGATAGAAGAACATTTGTAAATGCTTGGAGGTTTAAATAAGCCAAGAATTCTTAATTATTTTAAGTTTAAACACTTGAAATTGCCAAAATAGTCGAGTACCAGTAAGCTCATTAAATAAAGCAAAATATCCTACATAATAAAAGCCTAATATGCTAAGTGTCCAGTCATCCGCTCAACCAATAAAAGCATAATATGCTAATGATATGCTAAGGCCTCTCAACCACTCACTATGATGTGGACTGACCATCAGGGAACAGACGTTCCAACCGGTAGGTTAGCTTGTTGCTTTGGTCCAGCCGAGCGGGACTGAGTGAGATGGGCCAGACACGCCCTGGAGCCCTCGGGGTCCCTCGGCCTGGCCTGTGCCCTCTCGAAATCTGGGCTGAGGGAGCTCCCCCTCACTCCCCGAGTGCACAATTTTTGTGCACTGGGCCTCTAGTCTTCTATAAATCTACCTATTCCACAGCTACTTTACTTTAAAAGGTCCAGACCTTACCACAGGACAGTGAGAACAATGCCATTGGAGTGTTAGTACTCACATGAATTAGTTTATTTGCTTTTATTATCTGACTCAAACTTCTTGCTACATTCTTTTTGTTTATTTGATTACCAACTCATGTAGGAGCCAAGTTTTGGTAACAGCCTGAATCAAAGCAAAGAGTTGTATCTCTTGCAGTAAGAGTCTGCCCACAGGGTCAAGGCTGTCCCAAAGTTCTACTCTCTACAAAGAAGCCTTATGGGCTGTGATGGAAATAATGACTAGGCACCGACAGGCCAAGGGTTCTGTGTTGCTCTGAGGTATGAAACATTACCTGTTTGGTGAAGTGACATTACATAACTGCTGTACCGCCTCTTCCACTAAGTGATTCACCAGTTTCACGCGGCCCTTCGTCACCATCATTATCCTGGTCATCACCAATTACATGTGCAGAGCACCCACACGGAGATGACACTGTACCTGGTGCCTGACAGAATGCAAGGAAAACAAAGAGCAGCCCTCATAGAGTAAACTGTTGGAGCTGTGCATTTGAATATGAAACACAGAACAAACATACCTGTACGTCTGAGCCTACCTGGGTCACACGCGATAGAACGAACTCATTGAGCTTCACAGGGGTTATCTGTGTTGCAATCGCGAATGGAGCACATGGTCTTTCCACAAGAAAGATGCTGAGGGGGGTCCCACTCTTTGGGGATCCAAGATTCAGACAAAATGATAGGAGGAAGGGCACATAATAGGGATAAGACCACAGCTGTTTAATGGTGATTCACCTTACTAACTACATATAAGAGGTTGTCCAGATCCTGGAAAACTGGAAGATATAATTACAAGAAGAAAAAAAGGCTTAAGAAAGATAAAACACCACCCTTGCCAGTTTGGCTCAGTGGTTATATCTATAACATAAGGCCCGTGGACTGAAGGGTCACAGGTTTGATTCCCAGTCAAGGGCATGTACCTCAGTTGCAGGTTCGATCCCTGGCGCCAGTCAGGGTATGTGCAGGAGGCAACCAGTCAATGTGTCTCTCTCACATAAACATTTCTCTCTCCCCCTCCACCTCCCTCCCTTTCACACTCTCTAAAAATCAATGGGAAAAAATATCCTCAGTTGAGGATTAAAAACAAGCAAACACACAAAACAGATAAAAACCTCAGAGCCCCAATGAGCCCATTACTCAGAAAATACATTTTGCGAACAAACCAAGGACAGGACTCACCGTGATGTGGCTGGTGTGCCTGGACTCTCACCCGCTCCGGGAGATTGCCTCAGGAATGCTGACCACTCTCAGGTCCCAGGAATGGGCAGAGCTGTTTTTTGTTTGTTTTGTTTTTTAATATTTTTATTGATTTCAGAGAGGAAGGGAGAGAGAGAGATAGAAACATCAATGATGACAGAGAATCATTGATCGGCTGCCTCCTGCACGCCCCCTAATGGGGATCAAGACTGCAACCCGGGCATGCGCCCTTGGCCAGAACTGAACCTGGGAACCTTCAGTCCACAAGCCAACTCTCTATCCATTGAGCCAAACCGGCTACGGCGGCAGAGCTGTTTTTAACATCATAGAAAATTAACTACTTTGTTATCAGACTTCAAAATCCTGGAAGGAGACACAGGAACCATGGCCGCTGCAGCCCTTATCCCTGCCCGTCCTTCCTCCCTGCATGTAACCTTTCTTCCTTATCCATATATAATCAGCCGGTTAGCAGGGGAGGTTAGACCTGAGTTTTCAAGATGAACTGTTGCTCTCCCATGCCGCCGGCATTATTGGAATAAACTCTCACATATGATTCAACCTTGTTTCTGCTTAATTTGGCTCAAGTAGTGACGGGCGGCCCTGGACACATTTTGTGCCTCCTTTCAAAAGAATTGGGGCACTAACCGGTTTGGCTCAATGGATAGAGCGTTGTCCTGCGGACTGAAAGGTCCCAGGTTCAATTCCGGCCAAGGGCATGTACCTTGGTTGCGGGCACATCCCTAGTAGGAGGTGTGCAAAAGGCAGCTGATCTATGTTTCTAACTCTCTATCCCTCTCTCTTCCTC